CTTCCAGAGCCTCCCAGGCCTCCCCCACGCCGCTCAAACATTTCCGGAGGCTGCAAAAAAGCGGCCAAAGTGGCCTGACAGGCCTGAGGACGCCCGAAGAAGACGGATCAGGAGACCCCTTAGGCGCCCCAAGAAGGCTCCAAGATGCGCCCGGGAAGGTCCCCAGGAGGCATATTAAAATTGCTTCGTCCCATCAGCAACAAACTTGTTTGGCGACGGACCCGTCCTTGTGCAGTCATGCGCACCGCAGTGCCCGGGTCTCTCTTCATACGCGCGCCGCGGGGAAATGCGGAAAGATGGCTGCTGCGGAGCACGCGTGCCCGGGTGCTCGGAAATTCTTGTGGGGCACGATCCGCGTGCTGGAGAAGCAATTAAGGAACCCCCCAGCGTTATCATTAGCACCGCGCCGTAATTCAATAATTATTTGGGGGGTTTTAGCCGAGCCCAGCGCCCCGCCTGGGGTGGCATCCCAATTAGAATTGTAATGAGAATAAGAATGCGAATGCGAATAAGGACAAGCTGAGAAAAGCTAAGGAAAAGCTTAGAAAAGCTAAGAACAAAACTGAGAAAAGCTGAGGAAAGCTAAGGAAAGCTGGTGTACCCCCTCCTGGTGCCAGGATAACGCTTCCGGGTGCCGGGTGCGTTATCCTTTCGCCGGGGGGGGGGGGGGTCCTTAATCGCTTACTCGGAAGCCGAGGAATTCGGATGCCCCCACGCGAACACGCCCACTGAGGCCGCATGTGGACCTCCTACGGGCACGACCCGTGCGATTATTGCTCCGAAGTGGGCGGGGGGGCGCCCTGCGAAGCTGCCCATTGGTGTCATAAGTGGAGTTCCATCTGGGGCATGATCCGCGTGACGGGTGTGCTGACATGGGGGGTGCGCTGTGCGAACCTTGTCTTTGGGCCTTTGTGTGGTGTTCCCTGTGGGCACGATCCGCGTGATGGGGTGTGCCGCAATGGGCAGCGGGGGTTGGGGATTCGCAGTGCGAATCCTGCATATGGGGCGTAGGTGGAGATCCTTGTGTGCTATGATCCGTGCGAAATGTGTGCCGAAGTAAGTGGGGGGGCGGGATGTGAACTTTGTCTTTGGGGCCGTCCGTGTAACTTGTTGCGGGCCACGATCTGTGTGGGAGGTGTGCCGAAGTGAGCTGGGCGACGCTATGAAGCTTCCTTCTTGTGCCGCAATTGCAGTTACTTCGGGGCACGATGCGCCTGAGGGGCGTGTCATTCTGCGAACTTTGTCTCTGGAGACGTGGCTGGAGTTCCCTGTGGGGCGCGATCCCTGTGGTGGGTGTGCCGACAGGGGCGGGGAAACACGATCCGTGTGACAGTATATGCCCTCAGATGCCGAAAACTTTCAGACTGCAATTGGAGCGCTGTATATATATATATATATATATATATATATAGATTTGTATTTCATGCCCCTCCTCCTTGCTGCTCCTCTATCTCTCCATCCTCCCTCCATCCTCTGGGCTTAAACAATCGTCCCCGCCCAGATTATCAGGATCTTAATGTGTATCGTTTCGTGCCACGCTCACCCCCCAGTCCACTTGCGACGCGTGCCGCCTCGTCCAAAGCTTTGTGCTTGCATGTGCGCCATGGGCGCGCCCCTGGTTGGCCCGCCTCGCGCGCCGTCAGCGCGGCCCAGGTGATGCGGCGCTGATGGCGGCGGCGGCCCCCGGCGCGGGCCGAGGCCGAGGCGGAGCGCCTGGATCAGGCGCGGAGTGCGCGGGCGGCTTCCTGGCGCCGCCAGCGGGGGCCGCAGCGGCGCTGCCTGCGCCTCCTGCGGGAGTCGGCCGCGGTCGAGGCGCGGGCCGAGGCAAGTCGAAGGCGAAGGCCAAGGCCATCGGTCGTGGACGTGGTGGAGCTGCAGCTGCCGGAGTCGCGGCTGGAGCACCTCCCGCTGGAGGCGCGGCCGCAGTGGCTGGGGGTGCTGCAGTGGCCCCCCCTGCTGGAGGCGGCGGAGCGGCAGCCGCTGGAGGCGCTGCTGGAGGCGCTCGCAGGCGCGGTGGAGCTCGAGGGGGCGGCGCTGGAGCGGCCGCCGCGGCAGGAACGGCTGCAGGAGGTGTACCCGCGGGAGGAGCTGCAGGCGGTCCGCCCGTGGGGCCGGTGGCTGGCGCTGTCGGGCCCTTGGGAGGCTTGGTGCCCGTCGCAGGTGCTGCAGGGCCCCCTGCTGGCCTCGGAGTCGCCGCCGCTGGAGCTGCAGGGGCTCCAGGGCCACCACCTGTTTGTTGCTGCTCTCGGGGCCCCTGGCGGAGCTGCAGGGCTCGGAGGGCTCGTACCACCAGGCCCTGGCGGTGGCGCGGCCGCTGTCGTGGGTCACGGCGCCCCCGCGGGCGGAACAGCTGCTGGCGCCGTGCCAGGTCTCCCCCCTGGCGCTTCGGGCATCGGGGGCGTTGGAGGCGCTGGGGCCTGGCCGCTCCCAGGAGGAGGCTCCCTGGGGGGAGGTGCCGCGAGGGGCGCCTCTGGAGGAGGCGGCTTGCTGGGCTGGGTGCCGGCTGTAGGCCCTGGAGGCTGCGATTTTGCGGCCCCGCCAGGAGGAGCAGGACCGTGGGTGCACGGCCGGTCATCGCCAATGGCCTATCAGCGCTTAGGCCTCGCTCCAGGATGCGTGCTGGAGGGCGTGACGCTGGGCAACTTCGGGGGCGCTGCTGGAACTGCCCTCTTTCAGGTGCAGAGTGTGTGTGGCCTGGCGACGGCATGGGCTGCTTCGTGGAGGCGGCGTTCATGGGCTGCAGCAGCGCGTCCCTGTGGCCCATGCTGGCTGGTAGCTTCACCAGCTTGGGAGGCGCAGTGCTGCATCTGTGCACGCAGCAAGCGGGCGTGTGTGCTGGCCTAGTCCAATGGCCTCGGAGGTCGGTGCTGCACGTGGAGACCTACCGCGTGCGTTCGCCCAGCAGCTTGACGGAGGCCTGGGTTCAGCAGCCTGGCGGAGCGAATCCTAGGGCTGCGGCGGGCGTGCCTGCTGCTGCTCTGCCAGGTGCTCCCCCCTTCGATCCTGGAGGTCCTGCGGCTCAACCCACGCCCGCGGATCTGCAGAAGGAGATCGCGGAGCTCAAGAAGCGCCTGCATCAGAAGCGGAGCATCGGCGAGACGTTGACGGACCGCGCCGAGGCTGCTCTGACAGGGGGCAAACGCAGACGCCACGGCCGTCGTCGACGCCGTGACGGTTCAAGTGGTAGCAGCTCCGAGGACTCGCTTTTTGACGGCGCCCCGCACGTCGAATCACGCCGCAGGATTGCGCATCTAGCTCGAGAGGCACCTGGTGCGTTACTCTCCAGCGGGGTGGAAGAGATCAAGAAGTATCTTGCGCGGCGTGTGTGGGGGGGGGTGGGGGTGGGGTGGGGCGGGGGGGGGGGCGGGCAGTCAAGGAAGCCTGGGCGAGCTTGCAGCATCAGTGGTGCAGTGCATCACCAGCGTCTGGCACGGTCACCATCCTCAGAGCGAGAGGGAGTCAGGGGCGCGCGCGAGATGAGGGCAGTCGGCGAGTGCCTCGACGCTCTGCTGCGAGGTGAGCTGGGCCATCTCGGAGATCTCCCCATGCAGAGGCTGAAGGCGATCGAGCAGGCCACGAGGGGCGGACATTGGCAGGTGGCGCAGCACCTCGAGCTTTGCGACGACCTGGGAGTGGGGCTCGCGAGGCAGGGGGAGGTGCACGACGCGGTGAGCAAGCGCAGGAGGATGCGCGGCCTAGCGGAGAGCGTGGCCAGGGCCAAGAAGGGCGGCGGCAACGTTGGATAGGGGTCAGGCCGAGAGGGGAGTGGACAGTCCAGGACACCCCCCTCTCAAAGGCCAGCGGCCGCAGCCCCTGGCAAGAACCGGGGCCAGAACGGCCCCCAGGAGGTCTCCTCCTTGCTTGCCCGCGAGAAGGTTTCGAGGAAGTCGCGCTGGCGCGCGGAGAAGCGGCGAGCAGCAGCCGCGACCGCGGCAGCTGGCGCCGCCCCCGCGAGCCCAGGCGCCGCCGCAGGAAGGCCAGCGCAGCCAGGCGCGCCGCCTGCAGCGCCGCCCCCTGCCGCCGCCGCGCCGGGATCACCGCGTGGGATTCCCCGCGGCGGAGTCAGCCCAGGCCCCGACAGGCGGCCGATCCTTCGCCCACCGCAGCAGGGCGATGCCAGGCCGCCGTCTCCAGCACGACGAGTTCACTTCGCGGAGGACTCGGAGAGACGAGCGAGCTCGAGGTCGCCGACGCGGAGATCGAACCAGGGCCCACCGGGGGGCCCCAAGGGCGGCAAGATCATGAAGTTCAAGGGCCGAGGCAAGGGCAAGCCAGGCAAGGGCACACCTGGGAAACGCTTCGGCAAGGGTAAGTCGCAGATGTCGAAGGGCAAGCCGAAGGGCAGGGGCCATCGGTGAGCCCGTGCGCTATGATCGATGTGAACTCCAGCGAGGGCGAGTCTGGCTGGTCTACCATCATGGATGCCGATGCCCTCGAGGAGCCCTCCCCTTCGTACTTTTCTAACATGCGTGACGTGGGGCATGGCGTCCACCTGGGCGCAAAGGATGACTCCGTTAATTCAATACCTTGTTCATCGATCCTTGTCTTTGGCTCGCCGCTGGAGCTCTTTGGGGCCTGTTTACTGCGAGAGATTAGCCATGCGTTGCACCGGGCCCTGACACGTACGCCCGATGGTTCAGAAGACCGCGTTCACCTGGCCCCTCAACGTTTACCCGATGTCACAGACGCGGCCCCAGCTCTGCCTCCTCATAACCGTCGGAGCTTCCGAGGCGAATTTGACAGTGCCCCCGATCTTTCTGATGGTTCACGACGCTCACCACCGAACGGTCGGCGAGAGAGGCGAGATCTGCTCCCTCTCCCGATCGCGTTCAACGTTTGGGCCGCTCCTCTGGATCGTGGAGATCGCACAGAGGAGAGCGGCTTGCTGGCCGAGGGCGCGGAGGCGGAGCTGAGCTGGGCGCGCCATCGTGACGGGCCTCAACTACCACTGCGCGCGGATCTGGTCGGCCGCCCCTGAGGCGCCACCGAGTGCCGTGCAGCGTCAGGCGCTCAGCAACTTGCTGTGCGAAGTTCGAGTTTTCTGTGATCAGTGCTCGGGGCCGATGCCCATCGTGGATTGGGAGTCGGAGTTGACCGCGGCGGCCACCTCATATGATGGCGAGGAGATCTTCCCAGCTGAGCCGCTCGACAGATTGAGGTTGCTGGAAGCGCTGCCGCCGATCGATGCCTGCGCAGCGGTCAGAGCCGTATACTTCGCCGAGGGCTGGATCCAGGCGGCGCTGTCTGACCCCAGGCTCATCCTGAAGAACGTGGAGGAGATTGGAGACCTGCCTCCGACGCCCAAGGTGTGGGCTCTTGCTTCAGAGTGGGAGCTGATCGCGGGCGACCTCGTCACGCGTGGCATCCTGAAGCCTATTGAGTACGACGAGATTGTGGAGGTTATAGGCCGGAAATTCATGGGCGGCATGTTCGGCGCGAAGAAGGGCTCCCACGTGAAGGGCGAAGGTCCCCAGATATTGATGATGAACATAATCCCGTCTAACTTCATTCAGCATACCATTGAAGGGGACATGCCGCTGCTCCCCACAGCGACAAGTGGAAGAGCATCGTGCTGCGCTCAGGGTAGGTCCTGCTCTGGAGCGCAGAGGGCCTGAAGTGTTGCTTCTACGTGTACAGCCCGTGCGACGCCTGGCTGAAGTACATGGCCATCTCCAAGCCAGTGCGGCGCGCAGTTGTCCGTCTCCCTGGCGAGGGACTGGCATATCTGTGGCGCCTATGGGCTGGATCTCGGCGACCGGAGTCATTCAGCGCATCCATCGCCGTCTGCTTCGATCGTGGACAGCTGGCTGCTTGCGAGGAGCCTCGCAAGGGTGCTCCCATGCCTCCTGCGCGTCGGGGTTCCCTTGGCGGCGGAGCTGTGGCCCCGGTTCGGGGTCAGGTTGGCGAAACCTACGACGACGGCAAGCCCGAGATCTACATCGGCCGCGGCTCGTCGAAGCTGAACCTGAAGGCGCCCGCCTGGGGCAGCCCGCGCCGCATGAGCGAGGGCTGGCCACGTCAAGAGGTGGTCACCTTGTTCGAGCGATACCTGCGCGAGAACCTTCAGTTTCTGAGGGATTTGGTATCTCTGAGCGGCGGCCGCCTTCTTTGCCACTGCGAGGGTTCGCAGGCTTGCCACGGCGACGTGCTGATCAAGGCGTGGAAGGACAGATTCGGCTCGAAGTCGGTGCGGCGCGCGTGGCAGGTCTACATCGACAACCTTGACGTGCTCGAGATCACCGACTGGTGGCGGGCGAACCAGCTCCAGGAGGAGGGCGTGAGCGAGCTGGCCCAGGTGGCGAGAGAGAGGTGCAGGAGCTTTGGGGCGCCTCGGAGTGAGAGCAAGGCCGTCATCAGGGAGATGAAGTCGCAGTCTTTGGGGGAGGCGATCGACGGGGCTCAGGGCGCCATCGGGCCCCCCGCCCAGTTCGCGCAGCGTTTGGTCTCTCTCACCATCGAGACGCTCAAGAGAAGGTCCGTCGCGCAGAAGTGGATGCAGATCTTGGCGGGCCGCTGGGTGCGTTGCCTACTCTTCAGGAGGGAAGCGATGATGTGCTTCGCCGAGCTGTGGCGGTTCCTAGTCCGCATCAAGGGCCAGGCTCCTCTGCCTGCCAAGGTCCGCGAGGAGCTCATCGCGGCGCTTGCGCTGCTGCCGCTGCTGCGCTGCGACCTGCGCGTGCCCATCCGCGGCCTGGTGACGGTGTCGGACGCCGGCGTGCAGAGGGGCGCAGTCTGCCGCTCCGTTCTTCTTCGGCGAGATGGAGTCGCAGCGGCGCGAGCGGCGAGCAGGAGGCTCGTTACGGACTTCCGCGACGAGGTGGTGCTGGTGTCCTTCTTCGCTGGGGTAGGGGGAGCTCGCAGGGCCTTGGGCCCCTTGGGTCTCGCCCCGGCGTTGTTCGTGTCTGCGGAGATCGATGCCGAGGCGAGGCGGGTGACCAAGTACGCGTGGCCCGAGGTGCTGGAGGTTGGCGACGCGCAGTCCTTCGGGCACGCTGAGGCGATGACGATCAGGGACCGCGTGCCCCACATCGCGTGCCCCACATCAAGTGGATCCTCCTCATCGGCGGGAGCCCGTGCGCCGACCTCGCGCGCGTCGACGTGGAGCGCGTCGGGCTTCAGGTGAGGCGTTCTAAGCTGTTCTTTGAGATCACATGCGTTCGCCTGCTCTTGGAGGAAGTGCTGGGCGAGTTCTACCGACTCTTGACCTTGGTCGAGAACGTGGCCTCGATGGACGCCGAGCCGCGCAACGTTATGAGCGAGCACCTCGGTTACAAGCCAGTTCGTGTCGAAGCTGGCTGCATCGCGCACTGCTATCGCGACCGCCTATACTGGATCGACGAGAACCTGCTGTGCGAGTGGCAGGGTGGCTTCTCCTTCTCCGACGGCGTCAAGATGATCCATGTGCCTGGGGGTCCTGGGCCGGTGAGGCGCTGGCTGAGCCAGGATCTCAAGTGGGCGGGAGAAGCGGATGAGCAGTTTCGGTTGCCAGCGTTTTTGCGATGTATCCCTCGGCGCGCACCTGGGAAGTTACCCACTGGACTGCAACGTTGCTCTGAGGAGGAACTTCAGAGATGGCGAGATTTCGAGTACTGCTACGCGCCATGCCAGTTTAAGAACGAGAACTGCATCGAGGAGCCCAACAGCGTGTTCAGACCACCCAACAGCGTGGAGAGAGAGAGAGCTGCTTCTCGATTTCCTGCCGGGGCACGCCATCACGGCTCGGGTCACCAGGGCCAGAGAGCTGGAGAAGCACGAACTGGAGGCGACTCGTTGCTCCCTGTTGGGCAACGGCTTCCAGTGCTTGGTGGTGGCGTGGATCCTGTCGCACTGGGCGGTGAAGTTTGGGTACCTGGACACCGTTCCCTCGGTGGTTGAGATGCGCGACTTGGGTGGGGGCGCCACGATCGAGGATGCCAGCGTCGCCCTCAACGCCGTCGGGCACGATGAGGGCGTGCCCATCAGGCAGCACAACCTGGAGGAGCCGGACGCAGCGCTGGACCCGAGCATCGTGATCGTGGAGGAGTTGGCGCGTCGGGCTGAGGCTCGTGGCAGCGACATCAGGTTGGACACCTTCGAAGCGATGCGGCCAGATCTGCGGCCCAGGAGGCCGATCAGCGTGGCCCGCTGGGCCTGGCGCGCCACCGCCATCTGGGAGTGGAAAAGACCCTCGCACATCACGGATCTCGAGGTGCGGGCGACGCTGGGGGGCTCTCAGATGGAGATTTCGTTCCTCTCATCACATGCGTACGCGGTTCTGTCACTTGATGGACTCTCAGGCAGGTTTGGGCGTGATCACTCGTGGTCGCTCATCCTCTTATCTACTGCGTACTTCAGTTCGACGTATTGGTGCTCTGATCTTGGCTGCTCTAGCTCGCCCCGTGTATGGTTACGCAGAGGCCGACCGCAACCCCGCCGATAATCCATCGCGTGCGGCGGTGAGGTCCGCGCGGCCGCCAGATGCCAGTGCGTAGACCTCGGCGCGTGCGAGCGGCAGCAGATCAGGCCATGCGTTGACACCTTCGAGCTGCAGTGGGGCGCCTCTCTCACAATCTGGTGCAGCCGCGAACGCTCGATCTTTACCACAATGCAGTTAGACAGTTTTCAGATTGGGTTGCAAGCCGAGGCTTGACCTGGACGGGTGCTTCAGATCATGTTGACAAGCTTGACCTACTCGTGGCCGAGTGGATCGAGTGGCTCTGGGCCGAGGGCCACCCGCAAGGTCTGGCGGGCAACGCCTTGTCGGCAGTTCAGTTCTTCCTGCGGAAGAAGCGCATCCTGCCAGCCTCTTGGCGACTGCTGCGAGCCTGGTAGAACCTCGAGCTGCCGCAGCGCGTCCCGCCGTTGCCCGAAATGGTCCTGCTGGCGATGGCGGCCACGGCGAGAGGCTGGGGCCGCAATGACATCGCAGCGCTGCTCGTGCTGGGCTTCGCAGGCTTCCTCAGGACCACCGAGATGCTGACGCTGCGCCGGTGGCAGATAGCCATCGACGAGGCTCGCGCCAAAATAGTGATCATCCCTCCGATCACAAAAAGTGGCTTGCGATTCCATCGGCAAGAGTCAGTTGTGATTGATGACCCGTCAGTTGTGCAGCTCGCCAGTTTCTTGCTTCGCAATCTGAGTCCTGAAGCTGTCATCCTCAACTCGAGCATCAGTGATTTTCGTGAGAAGTGTGAGCAGTTGTGCACTGCCCTCGAAGGCCAGCAGTTTCAGTTCCGTCCTTACAGTCTTAGACGATGGGGGGCCGCATCGTATTTTGTGAGAACTCGTAATATGCCTGCCACCTTTGAGAAGGGGAGATGGCAGGATTCGGCCACTGCTCGTATATACATAGTAGAAAGTCAGCAGGCCCTTTCAGAAATGCAGTCCTCACCAGCATGCCATCAACGACTGTGTTATCTTGGCAGTCTGCTGGCTTACGATGTGGCCTGAACTTTTCGGCGCAGCCAGAGAGGGAGTCGTGGAAGAGCGCTCCTGGGAGTTTCGTTGCCCTCTCAGTCATGCCTTGCCTCGCCCAGCGCCTTTCTCCCCTTCGGGCTGCTGGCGGCTTTTCCCCGGTCTCGATCTGGTGTCCCGTGGAGGGTTCCTGGGTTCGAAGGCCTCCGAGGGCCCTGCCTCGGGTTCCGGGGGGGGGGGTCGGCCGCTCGGGGCTGGCGGCGCTGGCGAGAGGCAAGGCGGGGCAGGAAGTTCAGTGGGGCTCTCCTGCTCCGTTTTCGGCCCGAGAGGCCACCGCTCTGTGACGAACCTCTGGCGGGCGTCGGCAAGAAGAACTGGGGGGTCCAAGCGGGGGGAGAAACAGATTATCATGATCTTAATGTGTATTGTTTCGTGCCGCGCTCGCCCCCCAGTCTACTTGCGACGCGCGCCGCCTCGGCCGAAGTTTTGTGCTCCCGCCCTCGAGCCGCCCTCATTGGAGGAAGAGCGCTCTTGGGAGTTTCGTTGCCCTCTCAGTCATGCCTTGCCTCGCCCAGCGCCTTTCTCCCCTTCGGGCTGCTGGCGGCCCTTCGCCGGTCTCGATCTGGTGTCCCGTGGGGGGTTCCTGGGTTCAAAGGCCTCCGAGGGGGGAAATCGGCCGCTCGGGGCTGGCGGCGCTGGCGAGAGGCAAGACGGGGCAGGAAGTTCAGTGGAACTCTTCTGCTCCGTTCTCGGCCCGAGAGGACGCCGCTCTGTGACAAACCTCTGGTGAGCGTCGGCTAAAAGAACTGGGGGGTCCAAGCGGGGAGAGAGACATAATTGTACCTGAGTCCATTCCAGGCCAGGATTTCTAGGTGGACCCAGCCGCGGCAACACGGAGCCCATCGGAGGCGCCCCCAGAAGGGCCCACCCGAACGCCCCAAAACCTGGCCCCATGGGGCGATCTCCGTCGAAATCCTCAGCGCCGAGGAGAGCGCCAAATACTTGGGTCGCAAGCTGACGCTGCGCGACTTCCACCGCGCCGAGCTCACCAACAGACTTGCAATGGGATGGCGCAAATTCAACCAGTTCCGCAACGAGCTCACCAACAACCGGTACCCCCTTCACATCAGACTCAGGCTCTTCAGCGGGGCAGTGACGCCAACTGTCACGCACGGCTGCGCAACGTGGACTCACCGCAGACATGCTCCTGACACTCCGACGCACCCAACGACGCATGCTACGACTCATTGTCAATACCTCGAGACGCCGACAGAGACCACCCCACACCAGCACCGCCGAAAGCACATTCAACCCTGACACTGACCAGCACGACGACAGCACAAACGACGACAGCAGTTCCGACGTCAAACGGCATCTAGACTTTGACGACGTCGACGACGAATCCGACATTGAACCCTGGGGCCATATTATTCGCAGGGCAACCCACACCGCCTCAGACCTTGCGACGCGCGCGCAGGTGGAGGAATGGGTGACGATTTTCTCACAAGCGTAAATGGAGATGGGCTGGGCGAGTTACCACACAACCACACCACTCTTGGGCCCGACTGGCAGCGGCATGGGAGCCTGATATCCATGACCTTCGGGCAGCACAACGCCGACACGGTGGACAGCGAAAACGGTGGAGTGACGATATCGCAGAATTCTTACAGAGCGATTTGGTGGACCCGGCACATGGTTACTGAGTGCTACACATGTCAAATCTTGGACGGACCTCGAGAGCGACTTCTTGAAGTTCATGCGCCTATGACCGGGCTCCGGCCCGCCCGCGCCGCCCCTAAGGGGCCTGCCGGCCCGCCGGCCGGCGGACTCGCGCGTCTCATCTCGTCTCGTCAAACATCCGCCGTCCTGAGCTTTTCGATGGAGTCCCGACCCTCTCCCCGAAGCCGGCTCTTCATCCCGAGTCGTAGTTTCGACAGTCTTGGGGTCCGGCGACGGCCCCCGCGGGCCGTCAGCGGCGCAGACTTTCCGCCTTGATTTTGGTTGAACATACCTTAAACAACACTATTGTATCATTACTAAGTTTGTTAGTACCATCATCATCATCACTCTTATTATTGTTGTTATCATTATTTTTCTGATTAGTGTTGTTATCATTACCATTTTTGTTACACGTGTTTTTGTGATTCTCATTATTATTAGTAGTATTATTACTACTACTTTTCTATTTCTTCTTCTTCTTCTTCTTCTTATTCGTCTCATTAGAAAATGCCTCGCTAGCAGCCGGGGAGGGGGGGGGGGCTCCCCGCGCCCCCGCGGGGGCGCGGGGCGGCGCGCCAGCCTGGAGGAAGTGGACGACGCCGACCTGATGAGCGGCCTCGGGGCGATGCTGGGCGGCTACGGCAGCGGCGAGGAGGAGGAGCGGCACGGCGCTGCGCGGGGGGGCTCCGAGCAAATGCCGTGAGCCGAGGAGGAGCGGAAACGATGGGCGCCTGCTCGACCACGAGAATGGCAATAGCAGTGATCAAGAATAGCCCCAGGGCTCCTGGGTTCCCCAATCCCGCGGATTTGGGCGGCGATAAATGCGGGGGCGATACATGTGGGGGGGGCAGCGAGGGTTGCCAAAAAGGTGCCCTTTCAGGGCCCTCACAGGGGCCTTTTGGTGGAGCCCAGAGGGAAGCTTGTCGGGCCCGAAATGGGCGCTTTTCTTCTCCCCCACTTATCGCCCCCATTAAATTCGCGCTCAAGGACCATCGGCCCGGGGATCCCCAATATCGAGGAGCACTGGAGCTGCTGCACGCTGATCCTGGGTGGGCCTGGGAGGAGCGAGGAGCGGAGGAGGGAGGTGGGGCGGAGGAGGTGAGGAGCAGAGGAGGAGGAGGAGGAGGAGGAGGAGGAGGAGGAGGAGGAGGAGGAGGAGGAGGAGGAGGAGGAGGAGGAGGAGGAGGAGGAGGAGGACCAGTGTAAACCAAAGAGTCATCAACGATCTTGGAATTAACCCTCCCTCCAAGCTCCCTCTTCATAGGCCCGTACACCGGTTCATTTCCATTGAGGGAACTGCCTCGTTGGAAGACACCTTTGAAGACCCTGAGGCATGCCAAAACATTGTTCTCGGGATTTCAACTCCACGGATCAACCTGATTGCTATGTTTTGCCGATCCAGGATCGTGCCAGAACGCCGTTTTTGGGACTTCAACACCGCGAGTCATCATAACTGTTGCGCCTGCATAGCCCTGAATCCTTCCAAAACACCATTTCTGGTACGTTGATCCTGGGAATCCGTGGAACTCTTACAAGTTGTATGAGCGAATGTGCGCGGCTCTCAGGCGAGAGCCAGATTTGAAAAGGAACCGCCCTCAATCCGTGAAGCTCTTGCAAGTTTTATGAAATAATGTGCGCGGCGTTAAGGCGAGAGCCACATTTGGAAAACCACCCGTCTTCAGTCCGTGAAATTCTTGCAAATTATTATTACGAATGTGCGCGGCGCTAAGTTGAAAACCACATTTTGAAAAGGAGCCGCCCTCAATCCGTGAAGCTCTTGCATTTTTTGAAGCGAATGTGCGCGGCGCTAAAGCGAGAACCACAGTTTGAACCCCCCCCGCCCTCCATCTGTGAAACTTTTGGCACTTTGTAGAGCTTCAGAGTCGGAAGTGGTGAGGAAGTCTCAGACGAAAACGCCCGGCCCGCCCTAAGAACTGGCTTCGGGGTGCGAGAGGGAGAAGTTACTTATAAGGAAAAGGAATAATGGAGGAGGCGGAGGAGAAGAAGGCGGAGGAGGAGGAGGAGGACCAGGAGGAGGGGGAGGAGGAGGAGGAGGAGGAGGAGGAGGAGGACAAGTAGGAGGACAAGGAGGAGGAGAAGGAGGGGGAGGAGGAGGAGGAGAGAAGGAGGAGGAGGAGGAGGCGGAGGAGGAGGAGGAGGAGGTGGAGGAGGTGGAAGGAAAGGAGAGGAGGGGGAGAAGGAGGAGGAGGACGAGGAGGAGGAGGAGGAGGAGGAGGAGGAGGAGGAGGAGGGGCAAGGAGGAGGACGAGGAGGAGGACGAGGAGGAGGAGGACGAGGAGGAGGAGTGGAGGAGGAGGAGGAAGAGGAGGAGGAGGAGGAGGAGGAGGAGGAGGAGGAGGAGGAGGAGGAGGAGGGGGAGGGAGGGAGGGAGGGAATAGGAATAGGAATAGGAACCACTGGCGATGCCAATCCCGAACAGATCACACTACTGAGAAGACCTTCGCTGCCGCCGTGCTTGGTCGGCCTTGCTTAGGACTTTGGGGGTTAGCCCACTCTGGATGCGATCTAAATATTCACGCCCCGTGCGCGTGGGAGGGCCACAGGGTTTGCCGAGGGACCGCAGCTGCTTATCAGCTATGCCCCCGCAATGCCCACAAAACCAAACCTTCAAAACAATATGATAATTAAGGAGGTGGGAGGGGTGCAGCCAGCCCCCCGCTACATGGATACGGGCTCCTCGGCCAGACGGGGCCATCAAGGTGCCGTCAACATTGTAGAGGGCGGGGCAGTCGGTCCTCCACCATTCTGCCGCAGTGGCCAGTGTGGCTGACCCGAAGCATTTAATGCACTTACGTTTGCACTCCGTGAGCCTGTGAGCCGACAAGAGCGGAGCGAGAGCAGCAGCAGCGGGGCGGGGCGGGGGGGGAGGGGGAGGCGGGACCCCCTCTCTTTTCCTCTCCCACGCCTCCAAAGCAGCCTTCTTCTCAGCCTCAAAACAATCGAGGGTAGCCCTTAGGAGCCTCATCCTAATTTGAAAGGCCTTCTTCTCAATAACTAAAATATCGTGCCTAACATTCAGAGGTACCCTGCATATGTTCGCTGCCGTGCCAGCAAGCTCATCTGCAACCGTGTTCGCCAGCACTAGACTACTTAAGGCACGGCCCTCGACAACAACCGTACTTTCCTGGTGGCTGTGGGTGAAAACAACTGTGACATCACTAAACTGCCTACTACACATGTGCTCTGCAATCTTGGCCCACAAATCCGCATCAGGCCCTCGGGGGTTGAGGTATTCCTGACAATACCAACTCTCCGCCAGGAGTTGGAAATCGGTAATACACAACAAATGCCCCCTTGTTGTGCGCAAGGCGAGGAGGAACGCACGCAACTCTCCTCGGGCAACAACCCGCCAGTGTCCACCTAGGGGTCCAATGATCGAGGCTTCGACGGCGAGAGGGGTGAGAGAAGAAAACTTGGCGATCGCAACGCCTACTCGGCGGAGCGTCGGCCACCTCGAGTCGGGTCCGCCCGAGGCGTCTCCCGCAACCAGAACAGGTCAGTCGCGCGAGCCAGTGCCGAGGCACCCACCTTCAACCTCATTCACGCCCGTCGCCGTCCAGGAATCACTATCTTCGGGCTCTGGGACCTTTGTCCAGGAGGCAGGGATGAGGCCCCTGAGCCAAAAAGCTTCGGCCGTCTCAAGCTGGGTGGTGGCCTGAAAAACAAGCTCGTCCGAATTTTCAAAGGCCTTGGACCCTGAGTTTTTACATCAGTCCCAGTACCTGTGAAACAGCGTTTCGGGCTTCAAGCGGCACCGATCGCACAAATCGTCACCTGTGAAACTACGTGTATTCTCTTTCTTCCTAGTCTTGGGCCAGCAGCCCGCGGCTTCTATCATAAGCATTGTCTCAAACAGACGCTGACCATTGTGGGAGGCGGCTAGCTGGCGCAGCAAGGCACGATATGAATCGTTGTCTACTCCGCTTTCCAGCCCTCCTCCCGTGTACTGTGTGCTGGCCTGCTTCCAAACCTTGCTCCTCGCCGCTGTGGCAATGTCCAGCAGCAGGTGCTGGTGCTGGTCGATGTGAGGGTTGCCCGTGTAGCCGCTGTCGGGGAAGGTCCACTCCTCGTAAGTGTCCTCGCCCGTGCTGTAGCTCCACTGAGACGGCGACACAGGTTGCCACCCTATGCGTAATAAGTTGAGCACCATTGCAGACACTGGGCCTCGCACAAGGCGAAGTTGATCAGAGTGTTTGGCTGCCTGCAATTGCTGAACTATCTTCGGCCAAACCTTCCTGACGCCATCACGTATATGTGGGTGATCTGGCCACGTCTTCAGCCAGAGGTCAGCCCCTTGCACCACCAGGGCTATAGCAGGATCTGCGTTGGGCATCCTGAGGTCCAGTACTGTAGTCAAGCAACGGCCACGATTGCCATTGCTACACGATTGTGCAAGTCTTCGTCGTACAAGTTTCAACTGTTCTCCATATACTCCATGAACCTGATGCCCGCACAGTCCTGCTGGCAAGCCTCCTTGTCGCTGGAGCTTGGCTGTGACGTGATATTGTCTACTGGCCCGCGTGCGACTTCTAATTTTCTTCGACATCTTCTTATGCTTATCCTCGCGTGCCCTCCTGGTGGAGCGGGCCAGCCGTCCACACCCAAAGTCGACCCCCAGGTATGTGGCCTGGGTGACTCCCTTGATGTGGTAGCCTCTCCCGCGCACAGCTCGGACGATGGCCTTCGTGTCCTGCACGTTGGTGCACATGATGATCGACTTGTCGGCCACCTTGAGCCGTCGCTGGGCCAGCTGCTCACACGTTTGCACGATGCATTCCACCATCTGGCATCGGATGACCTTCCGCGAGCCGCGGATGGTCTGGGATAGGTCATCCACCCACAGTCTGTGTCCCATCCGTGGGTGCATGGTGGTCACATGGGCCATCGCAAAGTGAGCGAGGGCCTTCGCAAACCTGGTGCCAGAGCGTAGGCCCTGGACCACGCTCTGGCTGGGCTCGAACGGGTCCGTGGCCGCCCCCATCTGCTCGAGAACCCGTGGAGCGATGCATTGTACCAGCTCGAGGTACAGCACCACTGGTGGAAAGTCAAGGCGCAGGGCCGCCTCAACTAGGGGCAGCCACGGTATCGAATCGTAACATGCTTCGATGTCTAACATAGCGTGTCCATAATGCATCTGAAACTGATGAGCTTCTTCCTCATCGATGGATCTAAGAAGCGCCTCTTGGAGGCAAGAGTTGCCTTTTATCGCAGCGTCCCAGAAAGTGGCCTGTTCAAAAGTCCATGTTTGCACGTCGCTCTCACGAATCATTGACCATACTCGTCCTAACATTGGCACCAATCCAATTGCACGTTCTCCATTCGATTTCTTTGGCGTAAGCCCATCTATAATGAGTAATGTTTGGATTGGCCATGTCAGGGTCGCTTCCACTGCCTCCAGCAAAAGAGTCATCTCTGTGAGTCCAGCTTTCGGCAATCTCTCGAAATCCAGCGGTGTGAACGCGTCAACTCCCATGCCAGCCCTAGGTTTCATCTTCTTGCATGCTCGCACAATGCTGGCCTCACTGATGGGTTCCAGTGGGGCGTCGGCTGCCACGTCGCGTATACGGTTGAAGAGGTCCCGAGTGTCAGTCAGGCTGACTGGCTTGGGGGCCCATAATTTCTTGAACTTCTTTACTT